AATTATGAATAAAATCACACTTCCTTAAAAGAAAAAAAAAATAAGACAGGGAATGTAAATGCTGCACTAATTTAATTACACGCTGGCACTGTAAGACACTAATGTAAATATTCTGGGGAGCAGGCCTAAGACACTTGAAGTAATTACTTAAGGACTCCCTTTCAAAGAATCTCTCCCTTTTTTTATTAAATGCCTTTTAACATTAGCACTTTCTTCCTGACAAATTAAATGAAATTTCATTACTCTCCCTGACTTAATGGCATGAGGCTCCCGCCGAGGTGTGAGTTAACCCTCCCCGGACAGCTGACAGGGGCTCCTGCGTTCAGTCAAAATGCCACTGCCCTAACCCATAAGAGAAAGGAAGCTTCCAAGAATCCTTTGTGTTTTTACCAGAGCTTCCAGAATGCCTCATCTTGGATGTTTTTTCAGCTGTGATCCTTGCAAAAATCTAAGAAACCATTGGTATTGTTGTTTTCCGATGTTCTCAAGTTCACAGCAAAACAAAACAAAATAAAACAAAAGCCTAGAAAACCACACATACACACACACACACACACACACACACACACACACACCCCACACATAAAATCCAGTATCATCCACTGACCAATAACAATGACCACAAGGACAACAACGGCAAACAGTTATATAGTACTTATTAAATATCTTCTAAGCAATTTACCTTTTTTAACTCATTTAAGCCCCCCAAAACGCTATAAGTACTATTAATAGTCCCACTCTAAATTGAAGAAATTAAAGTACAGACTGGTTAGCAATCTACTCAAGGTCACACAGCTAATAGGCAACTGAGCTGGGATTCAACCCTATCAGTCAGCCATTATCACACACGTTTATACATACGGTTACTGAATCCTCAGCCCTGGGCAGACATAGAGTTATTTCCATAATCCTTTGTACATTTGTGCAAACTGAGACTCAGAGACGTTAAGGAATGAGCTCAAGACCATGAAGTTCATGTCTATCCAGGATCTTGTATCAGCCACGTCTTCCAGACAAATGAGCTTCAAAATGAAGTTTCCAAAGGAGGGATCTCTGAAAAATCTTATTTCTAGACCTAATTTGTTACACTTATTCAGGGAAAAAATGGAATTATTTATCTTTAAAACAAGGAAATAGAGATTACTATAAATTTGAATTTATTTTTATGGTAATTATGGAGTAGAGCTGGAATTCTCCACCAATTTTACCCTCAAACGCTAACATTTTCTCAAACTTTGAAGGATGGATCTTTTTTCTCTCTTTAGCTTGAAAAAATTCTTAAGCCTACCTTTTAAAAGGAAAGAACACACACAACAACAAACAAAACAAAAAGCAGACCTGGTATTTGCCAAATCCATCTACTCGTATTTTAAACATTGGTATACCCTTGAACTTCTTCAAAAGATGATCACATTGACTATTTCCAATTCCACCAATATATGAAAAAGTAAAATATTAAATCACGAAGTCACATTTCAACCCTTCACTGGGGATATAGGTTTTAGTTTTTTTCATTTACAAAATAATGTACATTAATGTATTATTTCTCTTTGTTTTTTCAGAAGAGAGGCCAGATCCCTTAATATGAATATATTGCTCAGATGAATTGACTCCTATTCTCTGGTGGTAAAAAAGGTTTAAGATGAAAGTTGTTAATGTGTGGTGTTGCCTTTACAGTATATATTTGTGTGCTCTTTCAAAGCTTACCTCTAACCTCTTCATCACCAAATCCTGTGACTTCCTCTCAATCACCATCCTCTTCAAATTTTCTACAATGTTTACTAACATCTATACTTGAAAGATCTATCTCTAATTGGCTTCTAAGACATTAGCATTGTTGATTTCATTTTCTTTTTTGGAATGGCTTTTTTAGGATTGCCTTTATGTTTTCTCTATTGGTCTCTCAACAGTGTTCTTCCAAACTTCTTTCTGGTGATATTATCCAATTTAATAGTTTCAA